CAAGGTGGATTGACAACAGTAACTATCTCTTGTTCACAGAATCACTATGAGTTGTCACTGACTCGACTGTACCTAACAACAATCAGATATTTATCTCATTAAAGAGTTAAATTCCACATCTGATGTTCACATGCACAGAAATTCCTAATAAAAAACTCTACAAGAATGGAAAAACCCTTTCTCTTTCATTTTTTTAATTTTTACTGTCATTTGATTGAAAATTTACAAAATATATTGGTTTTTTATTTTCCATTTTACCTTTACTGAATGAGGGACAGTTAGAACACCTGGTGTCACCCAGGGCCACCAGGTGGCGCTAACGCACTGTGGCTTCCTCATTGTAAAAGCTTGAGGAAAACTGTCAAGGGGAATTGGTATTTGAGGGTCTAGAAGGAACAGGGAACCCACTGAAGTCGACTCTATAGTCAGAAAGGATAAATAATCAAGGAAAGGAGCAAAAGGAGCCTAATTCTGGGGATGGAATATTTTTCCATGGGCTCATGAAACAAGGATAGCATTAGGGGCGTGGGGAAAAGATTTACTATAAATTATAAAAATTAAAATAGTTGTTTGTAAATGGAAACAAGATGCTGGCAATGGAAAATGTGATGCAGAATCTATATTCTCTAACTATGTGTACATAGAGATAAGCAGCGCTTACCCTCATCGTCACTGACTGCACATTATGTCTGGTCCCATAAATGGGCTTATGTTTTGTTTTTAAAGGCAAAGCTCTTCTGTAAGATTACAGCCTTCACTATAGGTTACACCTCAACATCAAGAAAGCAAAAATCCTCCTCACCAGACTAACAAGCAATATCATGAACAAAAGAGAAGAGCTAGAAATTGTCCATTATTTCATCTTACTTGAAACCATAATTAACACCTTTGGTACCAGCAGCCAGGATATCAAAGGACATACACTGTGTTTAGGAAAGTTTGCTGTCAGGGACCTCCCCAAAATGTTAAAGAGCAGTGATGTCCATTTGAAGATTAAGGTGCGCCTGATAAAAATTATGATCTTCTCTATTACTTTCTTTACTTCTGCAATTTAGACAATAAGAATGACAGAAGAATAAAAAATATTAAAAAAAAAAACACGACAGAACAATCAAAGCTTTTGACCTGTGGTATTAGGACTGCCAAAAAGGACAAGTATGTCTTAGAGACTCCCAGGTGCTATCTGGAGGTTTTGGGGGTTTGGGTTGGTTTTTGCGGTTTGGGTTGGTGTTTCTAATTTTTATTTTGTATTGGTTTGCATACATATTCAATAAAGAAGTTTCACACACTTCTTCACTCACATTGTTTCATATGGTCCCTCCCATACACTGTGTTTTATAAAATATCTATTGATCTATGTCCACTATTACCCTGTTGTTTCAGATTCCTATTGGGTCTTTCCTAATTCCTTCACTCCCTGCCTTCTGAACTCTGCAACCTTGTGATTTTTCTCACTCCCCATCCTCAGCCCCACTGTTGCTTTTTATATATATACAGATATATATATATATATATATACACACACACATATATACATGTTGTTGGTATATATGCATATTCATACATATATTACTAGTTATCCTTGTATTTTTGCAATAATGGTCTTATGCAGTATTTGTCCTTGTAAGACTGAGTTAGTTCATTCAGCATAATGCTCTCTAGCCTCTCCCAAGTTATATTTTTTAAAATTGTTGCTCCTGAGTGCTGCATAGTATTCCCCCATGTACTATCCAGTCAGTTGCTGATGAACATTTGGGCTGTTTCCATTTTCTTGTTATTGTGAATCATGTTCCGTTTGTGGGTCATATGGAATTTCTATGCTCAGCTTTTTTAATACAGACTCTGAATCCCAGCTCAAGCCCCTTCCAGTGGACTTCAAAGAGACCTTCTAGCCTCACCACACCTCACCTCTGGACCCCACTTACAAGGTCCCTGCACGGATGAAACCACCATCACTAGTGCTGATTTCAAAGCTCACGCCCACCACATGCCCCCAGTCAGCAGGCATCACAGTGAACTGCTTCTACTACAGAACATCCTCAACTCTCTGCATCAACTCTGACCCCAGGCCAGGACTGTGGCCAAGAACAGCAGCTGTGGGAACGTGATTACCCATGGTGGGGACCTCAGGGTGTCCCTCCCAAACCAACCCTTCTGAGGAGGCTGCAGGCAACACAGCCAATGACAAGTGGGAGTCCATCATTACTAAGCAGGGATTTCTCAAACATGTATCCTGGCCAATCCAAAAACCAACTGCTGCAGGTGTGAGTCAATGCTGACCTATGTCCACCCTAAAGGATAGAGAAGAACTACCCCACAGCCTTTCCAAGGCTGTCATTTTCTAGAAATACACTGCCTCCTTTCTCCCACAGAGAGACAGCAGTGTTTCAACCAGAGACCTTTCCTTTTGATACACAAGGGAATATACAGTGTATGTATTCTGTAACAACTCTTGTTAGCAACTGCTCCACACTCTTCTCAGCAAAGTCAGTCATTAGCTATTGTATCAAGAAGGCCCTAGCTGAGTTCCTCTGAAGCAAGGGAAGGTAAGTGTTACTCTAGGTCAGATTTTTAAGTTTCTCTTTCGAAACAAAAAAACGACCTGGAATGGGAGGAATTTTCATTTGAAATCCAGACCCGAGTCCTCCAGGTTTCCATGCACACTGTAGGTGATACTGGAGGTCCCTCAGCTTCAGGTTCCTATGCTTAATGCTTAGGCTTCTGTTTATATGTCAAAAGCCCTGACAATTCAGTGGACGTTCGAAGTTTTGTCCCTCAAATGAGGAAGGCAGTCTGCTGAGCAGTCTCTAGGAAACTCAAACAGCAGTAACATCACAAGAGAAAGAACTATGCCTGGGCAGAAATTTGTTGGTGCTGGCACGTGGAACTTCACCAGTTGTGTACCGTGGAGTCGGAACCAACCCATAACTCACTCTCCAGTGGGTTTTCAGAGGCAGTTAATCCTACAGGAGGAGACTGCCCATCTTTCTGTGGAATAGCTGGTGGCCTCGAACCGCATGCCTTTGGGACTGCAACACAACTTCTTGCCACGAAGCCACCAGGGCACTTCACCGGAAGTCTAGAAAATTTTTTAAGACATTGAGTTGGACTATTCAAGTTCTCATCAATAACTCTTACAGGCAGGAAGGAGGAGCTAAATTGTGCTTTTCAGACTGATGGTGGGTAAAGAGCCTAGGGCACTCCTTTCACCCTGCGTCCGATAACCCGGCTCCATGAGGGTAGTGTGCTGTGAGACTATCTGTAAACTGATTTCTGGTGTTGACAATCTGGTTTGCAGTATTTAACCTGTATGGGAAGGTCCCTACCTGGCACCGTTTGTGATGCACTGCTTACCTAACAATGCTGGTTGGAACCCACCAAGTGGTACTACGGAAAACAGGCCTGGCAAGCTGCTTCTGTTAAGTAACAGCCGGGAAAACTCTAAGGGGCAGTCCTACTCTGTGTGCTTGCACAGACCTGCAGATCTTCACAGTTAATGGCACTGAACTTGTATTGATTTTTATGCTCCCAAAAAGACTTTTGATAATTATTCCCCCTACATACACCTCCCAGACAGAGAGATGAAAGGACGTGTTCGAGGGTCAACGGTATATTCTTGCCTGGGTCTTCTGATAGTGTTATTCCATTCAGATAACCCACTGAATACTGTCTCTGGTTAGCAGGGAAGTGGGGCATGTTCTAATCTTCATTCACCATGAGCTGCAGGCCGCTCCCAGGAGCATTAACTCCCAGTACTTCAAGCAGAGAGTGAGCCCTAAGTAGGGCTTGTAACAGAACACCCTTTGGTGGGAGGCACTGCTGGCACTGTGACTGGAGGATATGGTGGGACACAGACACCTTCTGTTACACTCTTGCTGGTTCCTGATCCACTTCTTTGCCTCTGGCTCTAAGTTCACCTTCCTCTGCTACTTCTCACAGTCCGTGCACCAGATCCTCTCTTTGTTCCGTTCAGAGCTAACATTTTCTACTCTATTAGCTCTAAAACAGAACCACTTGATTGATTTGGGGTAATAACAACACAGAACACTAGTGCCTTCATGGTCTTTATACCTAAACAACTTTGAGTATAGGAAAAAGAACACATGTTAAAAACAAAAATACACAGTTGTATTTATTTTCAATAATGAAAAAAGAAAACTATACCACAACAAATAGGAATCAAACAACTAACTCAATTTTAAATTGGGACACAGTCTTTCGCACAAAATTATCTTCAATAAATAACACATTATTTTTTTCTTTAAAACAGAACATTACTTTTAACAGTTTCTTTTTCTTGACCATCTAAGGTTGTGTGTGTGCATAATTTTGTGAAACAAAATTAAGTTATAGTTAAACACATACTTGAAACTAGACCAACAAAGGCTCAAAGAACAGATAAGGAACAAGGTCCACAAATGTCAGTTAACAAAATCAATAACTGACTTTCAAGAAAGTATAGAAATCAGAGCTCGCTAGGGGATGTACCAATAGATTCAAGCATTTCAGATGGTCCATGTTCAAGACTCTGTAATGTTCTTCCTGTATTTCTAGATTCTTGATTTGGAATCTATCACAAAATAGATTGGCTTCTGGAAAGGAACATGAGGTGCTTTACTCACATTACCTAAAAACAGCTCTGCTTCCTTTTCGCTCCTAATTTCTTCCTTTCACTGTGTCACTAGCTTCTGTCACCAATATATTTGGGTTCCGTTCCAGAAAATGACTACTACTAAGTAGAATAATCTATCTCTGGACAAGATTTTCCTTTCAGAAACAGACTAACACATGCGTGGGCTAGCTCTAAATAGATCCAACTGCTTTGACTTTTATTCTCCTGCAAACTCTCCTTGGTTATAAAATCTAGGGATCGGAACAATGGCAGTATTGGTCAACAGGTAAATGCTAGTTCCAACACACAGTTATTAAAGTTCAATGATCACATTTTTTTTTAGTTCCTTACTTGCCATACCTTCTTTCATTTCTCATTATCTTATCAATTATTTCTTTCGAAATTCAATCCTCCTGGCTACATTCTGAGCACCAAACTTTGAAACCAATGCATCTCGAGTCCCTGCATCATCTTTTTGCAAATCTAAGTCATCTTGTCGGGACCAAATAGGGTACCCATCAGCTCTCTGTCCAGACTCTAAAAAGGACGAAGTAGCCTCCAGTTCACCACTGTTTTTAAGGAAAGCCTGTGTAACTGTTGACAGATCCAAGTTAAACTTTTCCATTAACTGCCGGATAATCTTAATAGCAGCTCCCACCTCGGGCTGAGACACTTTCTCGACTTCCTCATCAGGCTGTGTTTCAGAGTCTTCCTCGGGTGTGGGTGGATCACCATCACACATTGTTATGTGTATTTCAAAACCAGGGCTCTCATTCTCTTCCTCCTAGACAAAAAAAAATGACGAAGATCAATTCCTAATTACCAAGTCATAAGCTCTATTAAAATATGGTACTTCCCAGCCTAACCACCCTTTGCAGTTCAATCACAATGGGCTATCTTCAGTTCCTCCAATATGATCGAGGCCTTTTTCCTAATACTAATCTGTATTAGGTGTACATGCTTACAGGTGTGCGTGGACAGAGCCCTGGGTGCACAAGGTTAACTGCTATTAATGAATGAATGAAAACCCAACCTTTCTGTAAACTTTCACTAAATTACAATAAAAAGCGGGGGGGCGGGGAGTGGGGAACCCACCAAAACAAAAACAAAAAAGGACAACTACTCAAGTCCACCATCTGCTTCTGGTAGAAAAGACAAGACCTATGACCCGCTCCCATAGAGGTGACGGTCTAGGAAATGCAAGGAGGAAGCTGTACTCTGTCACTTAGGTTCATTATCCAGGAGACTTGACTCAACGGCACAGCATGCAGGTGGAAGGAGGCATGTATGTAAGCATGAGAGTGTATATGTGGTGTTCTAAAAGAATATCAGAAGTTAGACTGACTATGAAAGAATGTATGCATAGAGACACACATTAGACTACTTGTTAAATGTTTAACTTTAATGCTAAATTATAAATTTCACAACGGCAGAAATCACATTTATTTTCCTCACCACTAGAGCCCCAGCTCTTACCAAACTTGTATGTGTAAGTATTTAAAACACAGATTAGCATTTCCAAGCCATAAAACATTTCAGCATATTAGAAAGTACGTGAGCCAAATCGAATGACTAACAGAGCATTTGACAATTTGTGGAAATTGAACCAAATAATATCAATAATAATAATAATAGAATCAAATAATATCAATAATAAAAGGCAACAAATCCTTACATTTTGTCCATTCTTGTATATTCCTTTACTTGCCAATTAGAGAAACTTTATTTCTTATCAAGTTGCCTATCTCTGCCAGTGTGAATCCACCAGCAGCATGCTGATGGTTCAAATGCACCAGCAGTTCCACGGATGCGCAGGCGGTCTCTTCCATTATCATTTACAGCCTTGGAAAGCCAACAGAGAGTGGCTCGAAGTTAGAATTGACTCAACAGCAGTGAATTTGAGAAGTGAAGTTTTTTTGTTGTTAGGTTTTTTTGGGGGTTTTTTCCTTTAGTTTTCAGGTTCATTCACAAGATCTTTTGACTTGGTAAAGAAATGTACACATAATTTGGATTTTTTTTCAATTACCATCATCATTTTATGGCTTCCTAGCCTTCTCTACAAAAAAACCCACTGCCATCAAATCGGTTCTAACTCCCAGCAACCTGGTGCCCAGTTTCTGAGGCTGTACATCTGAACAGCAGTAGACTGCCCGTCTTTCTCCTGCTGACCAGCCCAGTAAGTTCAAGTCATCAACCCTCCAGTAAGCAGCCCAAAACAACAAGCACTCTGCCACCAGGGCTATTCTCCGTAGCTATTGTTAGATAGACTATTTTAAGAGTATTAGTGATCACAGTGCATATGGATGAGCTAAAATAAAATTAAAATAAAATGGCTTTAAATACACAAAATGTTAACTTGATAAAAAGAAAACATTACTAATTACTACAGACATTTAAAGGATTATATTCCTGTTGTTTCATCACAAAAAAATTTTTTTTACCTCTTCTTAATTTTTTTTATTAGTTTTAATGAAAGTTTACAGAGACTTAGGGTTTCCAATGATTCATTGTTGCACTTTTATCCTTGCCCACCCCCCCCATAAAATATTTTTAGGGTAAATCTACAACCATATTATTTAAATACTTATATTGAGATCAAGGTGTTTTTAAACAGAACCATCCCTGTTCTCCCTCCCACACCTTCTTAAATTGCCCTTCCAAACACTCAGTGTCCTGCCGAGGGTCCGGATCCGGCTCTCCACTTCCCTGCATCCTGACTTCTCCTTACTTCCCTAGGTTTACAGTCTATGCTATGTACCAGAAAGAATTTCTTTCTTTTTCAGCTCATTTTCTTTATGATTTTTCAATATTCTCTTTTTCTATTGGTTTTTACTCCGTTACTCATATGCGTTTCATTGTAAAATGCCATTTTTTTTTCTTTTTTCTATAATTATATTTTATTAATTTTCATAAACATTTACAGGTAAAATGCCATTTTTTACACTGTCCTACTAAACCCTCACTGTATTCTCCCTTTTCCTTCACCTTCCTCCTCCATCTCCTGTCCCAACCTGTCAACCCTCTGCAGTTGTTTCTATCAATGGGTAAAACCTTCTTTTATTCTCTTCTTGCCCCTCCTCCCTTCTTAGAGAAGAATGGAAGGAAAAAGAAGAATGGATGTAGGGAAAACCATGGAAGAAATGTGTCTGTGTGTGTGAACATACCACAACTTCCTCAAACTCCCGAGTGGCTTCTATAAGCATTTTTTTTACTGCTTCTTCATTCTCCTTGATCTCTTCCTTCTCAGGCTCTTCTTCAGGCAAATCTGGAGTTTTCTTATTCTGCGGTTCTGTTAAAGAGAATAACAGCTATTAGCACTAATCATAAACCAGACACACCCAGTGCTCACACTGTGGACACTGGGCCAGGAATGAGACTGCACATTACCACCACGACCCCTGCCCCACCATTGCAAGCAACATCAGGATAGACAGAAGATCAAAGCTGTTAGTGATTTCACCTTGCTTGGATCCACAACCAATACCCCTGACAACAGCAGTTAAGAAGTCCTGCTTTGATGAGAAAGTCGACTGTAAGGGACCTACATCTCCAAGCGAAGTCAGTTGATTAAAGCTAGAGTCTTTTCAATTACTTGCTATGCATCTGTAAGTAGGACACTGACTAAGGAAGACAGGAGAATGGATGCCTCCAAGCTGTAGTGTTGGTGAAGAGTGGTGAATATCCCATGGAATGTTGAAAGAACAAACAAGTATGTCCTGGAGAAGGTGCAGTCAGGATAGGAGGGAAAGATGATGAAAGTCCTACATATTGTGGGCATGTTGTTACAATGTCCTTGGAAAAAGACATCAAGCTGGGAAGGGTGGAAGGTCAACTAAAGAGAGAAAGAACCTCAACAAGGTGGACTGAGACAGTGATGGCAGTGATAGGTGTGACTATGTCAGAAATGTCAGAAATGATAAGGACAGCACAGGATGGGTCAGATCTGTTGTTCATAGGGTCACTATGGGTTGTACTCGCCTGGACAACATTAAAAGACATCAAAAGCTCTGGTGGCATGGCTTCACTGCTAACTCAAAGACAGTCTCCAGTACTGCAGAAGGATGGGCACTCTCCTCCAGTGTGATTACCTGCCTCTGAAAACCCACTGGACGGTCAGGTATAGGTGGGTTCTGACTTGAGGGTACATAACAATGTGAAACAGTGGTAAGAAGTTGTGCTACCACTGGTTCAAATCTATCAGCTGCTCTAAGGAAGGAAGATGGGCAATCTCCTCCTCTGCAATTGCCAGCTGGTGGTCAGCTATGAGTCCTTCCTACTCAACACCGCCTAATAATCACCACCACTCAATCCCAGAGGCCTGCGGTTCAAATCCACCAGATGCTCTGCTGGAGGAGGGGCAATCTCTTCCTGCACCAGTCAGATCCAATTTGACAGTACATACACAAAATATAATAAAATTTAAAAAAAACAACCCAAAACAATCACTACTCAAAAAAAAGTAATCATACATAACACCACAGTAATAAAATAGGACTGACATGGGGTTGTTGAGAGGATAGGAAATGTGTGGACAGACAATGAACACTGCATTGAAACATATGGGGGAAAGAACTGTCCAAAAAGATTATCTGATTAGGCATTGGATGTATGACAACAATCTGAAACAAGAGGTGCACTGCAAAGAGGGGAGGGAGAAGAGGGCAGAAAATGTGCAACAATGAATTTTTTAATAATCCATAAACCTGAAAATGCCACTTTCACCAAAACCAAAATTCCTACTAACCACATTGAAAAGGAAAAACAAATGTCACCCTTGATGTCAACCATTAGGTGGAATATTCACAAGGAAGGAGAAATCTAATATGACTATTTAAAGCAGAAGTGTTGATTTTTTAATTTTTTTATTATTATTTTATGTGTGTGTGTGTGTGTGTGTATACCGTCAAATTGGATCTGACTGGTACAGGAGGAGATTGTCCCTCCTTTTCCCGGCAGAGCATCTGGTGGATTTGAACCGTGCGCTTCTGGGATTGCAGTGCAGTTTCTTGCCACTAGACCACCAGAGCTCCCCTCAGAAGTGTTGATTTAAGTTGCCATGACGATTATCTCAAAAGCTTTGCATTACCGTCCCAACTCTACCTTAATTCTAATTGTGAAATCAACAAAATGCGCCCTCATCTCCTAAGCGGGGCCTGGAAAACTTGCGACAGGGACTATGTGAACCCGTGAATCGGCATTCCGCGAAGCCAGGGCACCAACGTACACCTGGAAAGGTCTGCCGTCCTCCCACCGTCGGGGCTGCTTCTACCTGGACACGGGCGTCTGTGATTTTAGGAGTCCCTTAACTAGCTCTGCAATACACCAGATTCGTCCCTGTCTCCGTGCTGCTGGAGGGCAGCATATTTCTACCCTCTCTGTACCTTTTCCATTTTGAACCTTGTATCTTTTAGCTCCTGAAGGAGTAAATGAATGAAAACTTGTAAAGGGGGGAGGTGGTGGTGCTGAACCCAGAGGAGCACAGAGAGCCGGGGCTGCAGGGGGCGTGGGGGAGGTCGGAGGACCCCTCTGCGCGCCCCCCGGGGTCAGCCGAGGGCTCACCCCCGCTGTCGGCGGCCTCGGGGTCCTCCTCCGCCTTGCGCTTGAGCTTCTGGGAGGCCGGGCTCACGGGGGCGTCGCCCAGCAGGTACTTGTGCTCCTGGCCTCGCAGGTGCTTCAGGTAGCGGTCCTTGAGCGCCTGCCAGGGGTGCAGCGTCAGCGCGCTCTTCTCCATCGCCTTCCACAGGGCTATGCCGGTCACCGAGCTGGGCGTGCGCGCGTTTTCCTTCACGTAGGTCAAGATGGCCACGTCGTCGGCCTCGGTGAAGGCGATCCGCCCCGTGAGCGGCTCGGGCTCGGGCTCGGAGGCGGCGGTGGCCTCGGCCTTGGCCTCCAGGGCCGGGTCGGCTGCCGGGCCCAGGCGGTAGTCCTCCAGCGCGAGGCGCTCGTTGCGCTCCACGCAGTCCAGGACATACTGCGTGGAGATGAAGTCGCCCGCGGCCTCGGCCAGCGCCTCCCCGGGCTGGGCCAGCAGCACCGCGCCCGGCTCCTGCACCCGGCACAGGGTGCCGCCGCCGTGCAGGATGAGCGTCGACAGCCGCCGCTTGGCCGGGCTGGGCCGCACGTAGAAGGCCATGGAGCTGCCATCGTCCCGCAAGAACAGTGTCGAAGAGTGGGTGGGCCCGTTGGGGTCTTTGCCCAGATCCATAGCCTCCGCCATCGCCCAAACCCGACACCTGCGCAGCCGCAGCTTCTGACTCGCGCGGCGGTCACCCTCCCGCAGGGAGGCAGCGGCCGCCGAGTTCTGCGCAGGCGCAGCCGAGCGCCAATGGCGCCAGCCCTCTGACCGGAAGGGGCGGGTCTTCCCGAGGCGCCCTGGAAGGAGGTCGGGGACCCTGGTCCCTTTCAGGTCGGGCCTTCGGGAAAGATGGCCGCGGTGCAGGAGGCTGAGATAAAAGTGGACGGCGGCGAGCCAAAACTGAGTAAGAAGTGAGTATCGCTGCGGAGCCCTCAGGCCCCTGTGAACGGAGAATGTGGGCTGGGAGTCGCCTTGTGGCTCCCCGGCGCCTGTACCGGGGTCCTCCGGGCTCTAGGGGGTGCGGACATGCTGAGACGTAGCCGCAACGGCCGGGAAACTACAACCCCCAGAGTACTCGGGGGTCCCCCGCTTCTCGATCTAGTCCTGCCCCCGATTTCGGCGCTGGCCAGGGGCCCCCCATCATGTCGTGAGACGGTGTGTAGTAGAAGATGGCTTCTGATGAGAGGTGACAGAGGAAAGAAAAGCGAAACTTAACACTTTTCCGCTCTTTCTGGGAAACGCGATTATTGGTGTTGAGTTACACGCCCATAGGGAGGTTCAGAGAAATTGTAAATGGCCAGATATTTTCGAAAGAGACCTTCCAGTCTTCGTTGACTTGGTTCTTGGAGAACCTTCAACTGCCCACGTGGGTCAGCAGACGGAGGGTGGTTGAGCCACCCGAGCCTGACAGTTGTTCGTTGCCATTCAGTGCATTCCAACTCGTGCGACCCTGCAGGACTCGGGGCTTGTGTAGCCGGACACAGCTGTGCTGACCTGTGCTTGTTAACCGTCCCAAATCGTGGAGTGTGAAGGTTGGCAAAGAAATCAAAAGTTCTCCGCCTTTAACGGCACGCTTTCTGTGGTTTATGTGTACTAAGTGCTACACGCCTGCTCCACCAGGATTACTCATTTGTTGCACAGAAGATCAGCATTGATTTGAGGATCTGCTTTTTCCGTGCTAGGAAAGAAGTTATAACATGCAATGAATGACTCCCGGTGTTTAAGGGTGTATAGTTCTAGGGACTCAACACGTGAAAATGTATGTTTGTGCCTCCAGGATTATGCTCCAAATACATTAGAAAAATGAAAAAGCAAACGCTTACAATTATGATTTATGATTTGATAGCTCCTGTAGAAAGAGATCCAGGAGGTTGACTCAAGTGTTTGGAACCTACCTAGTCTTGGAATTCTTGTACTTTAGAAGAAGTCGGTTGGACCTTCATCTGATGCATCAGTAATTTTAAGGGCTTAACTGTCAGGTCCCTTGCTGGAAAGGTTCCCAGTTTCAGATGGGGTTGATCAATAATCTCTTTCCTGACTTATTAATCTGAGTCACTGCTTATGTGCCAGGGACTGTGCTTGAATTGTCCAGACTTTCTGTCTAACTTGGATAGTAGCCTCCCTGGGAAAGGGTTAATGTCCATTTCTCAAATTTAATAGTGAAGCCCGAGGTGCTTACACACTTTGCCAGAGTGTGGATACATACCAAAGGCCGGCCTCACACTCATCCACAGAATGGGGCAGAGATCTAAAATCAAGTCCTTAACTTCGCATCATGCTGCCTGCCTTGTGTTAGTGAGAAGCATCTACTGTTGATAGGGAATATTACTCTAGTGACTAGTTAAATTAACATTTGTACCTGTTTCATAACTGTTTTTGGAGCATCCTTCTTATGAAACCTCGGTTGAGCACTATTTCATGTGCTCACAATTTAAAAATATACCAAGCACAATCAATAAGAGTGCATCTGAATTCCAAAATCAATCTCCATAATAGTCTATGTGTTTCCTACTGCCAAAGGGGCCTTTTAGAGTAGTGAGAGAAGATCTTCACCCTGAAACCCACAGCGTCCCTTTTCAGCAGGAAGTAGCTAAGAGAATACGCCGTCCCCTTTTCCTTATGACTCAGGGTGAAGTCTCTCTCAGGGAGGAGTGATAGGGAATGGCAAAGGATACACTGACAAAGAAGATTAATCAGAACTGGCTTTGACAAGCACTGTGGCATTTGGACAAGAACAAACTGGGAGGAGGGTAGAGAGAATAGTGCAACAATGAATGAGTGGAAGCCCAAAATCTCTGTAAATGTTTATGAAAATTAATAAAATATAATTATAGAAAAAAAAAATATACGTACACTGCCTTCCCTGGTGACAAAATCCCAACCGAAAGGTCCTCTGACTTGTTTGAACCCAGTAAAGAATAATTCCTGAGATTTTGTTGCCTTCCAGCATTAATATATGAGCATAATGTAGCCAGACTCTTCCTGAAATGATCCTTTGTTCCCAGAACTCCAAACTCTTCTTACCTTTGACTTGGGTGCTTTTGTGTGGCTTTTTTTTTAAGCTTCATCTGGAGCTTACAGTTGCTAGTAATGCTGCCTCTCATTTTACATGCTCCCTATCTTTGCTAGCCGGTGTTCCACCTCCAAGAGGAGCCACCCTTCAGGGCGTTAGAAACAATTTCTCACATCCTGACTCCCATTCTTCTATAGTGCTGTAATCATGTGAGCATATCTCCTAAACCATTCATTGATTGACTTGTTATTGACTTGCTACCCTGAAAATACACCTTTTACACACAGCTAGGACTTAAATGGGAAAGTCTGCTGTTAGGGACCTCTCTAAAGTACTCAAGAGCAACGGTTTCTCTCTGGAGACTAAGGTGCGCCTGCGACTAAGTGAGACTAAGGTGTCCTTGGTCTTTGCAATCACTTGTTAGCATCAGAGAGTTGGACAATGACTAGGGAGGATAGAAGGAGAATTGACGCCTTTGAGCTGTGGTGCTGGAGAAGAGTATTGCATGTTCCATGGACTGCCAAGAATACAAACAGATCCAACCTAGAGAGGGTTAAACCAGTCTACTCCTTGGAGGCAAGGATTCTGGGGCTTCGTCTGACATACTTTGGGCATGTTGTAAGGAGAGGCAGGTCCTTTGAGAGGGACATCATGCTTGGTAGGGTAGAGGGACAGCGCAGGAGGGGAAGACCCTCTATGAGGTGGGTTGATTCAGTGACTGGGGTAATCGGGATGGGTGTGTCAGAGGCAATGCAGTTGGCACAGGATAGAGCACGGTTTAGGGCTGTTGTACTTAGGGTCGCTATGAGTCACAAACGACTCGATGCACATAACAACAGCACTTAAAAAAAACCACACTGTCACAGATTTCAGCATAGTGTTACAGTGCTACTATCAGTTAAGGGGGTCTTCACTTAAAAGGGTCTCTAAAAAGTAGTGCAAACTTCACTCTGTATTATCCCATTAAAAGCAGAAGAGCTGGTTGGATGTATGTATACTGTCTGTCCCATCTGACACCACATCTCTGTGTTTCCCGTTAGGTGGTGGTAAACCTTAGTTCCAGGGTATTCTGCCATGTTGACGCAAGCTGCCGTCAGGCTTATTAGGGGGTCCCTGCGCCAAACCTCCTGGGCTCAGTGGGGTCAGAGGGAGCTGCAACTGGGCCAACTTGCTCCTTTCACAGCGCTTCACAAGGACAACCCACTTTCTGATAAAAGAAGGTTGGTGCCATTACCTTCTTTATTGCTCCAGGAGCAAAAGTCTTCCCTTACTTAGTTCCATTTGGACTCCTTGCTAAGGAAGCAGAGAGCTTTGCTAGCCAAATCAGTAGTCTTCCTTACTGTCTTTTAACTCTCTGGCTTTTCTCTCCTTAGATTCTTGGGGGTTGCTTGTGGATCTTACTATAGATAGCACTGAAATTAGAACTCTTGGATGAATAAGGAATATCTAATGAGGTTACTTTCCATTTCCTATCTTGATATTTTGTTTGCTCTTGAGATTAATGTGGTTTCTGTGTTTAGTGTTATCCCTAGGGCCTTTTGCGATTATGTTTAGAGTCTATGTGGTCTAAAGAGCAACACGTAGTTGAAGGGGAAGAGATTTATTATTAATCCTAGCAAAGAATGGATCCCCTTAGATGTTTATCGACTGAACTACATAGGTCTAGCAGTGTTCAGATCTGTTGTTCATATGGTTGCTATGAGTTGTGCCCAACTCAATGTCACCTAACAACAGCAGCATACTGTTCGAAGAAGGCTGCTCTCACAATTATTAAAGATACTATATTCAGAAAGAGTCACTCTCTTAAAGCCATCAAAATCCGTGTTCTACTTAAAAGATGATCAGTCAGGTTAAACTCAATTAAGTCTTGTTTTGGTTTTAATTGACTTATTTTAAACTCATTGAAAATGTTAGTATGTGCCCTAAAACCAGACAAAATGCATTTTTCATGGTTCACTATTTCAGAATGATAATCACTAGGGGCTTGAAAGACTGATCAGTTAATGATCTTTAAGAGTAGTCCCTCTCAATCTTTGATTCCTGGATTCAGATAGCAAGTTCAGGTCAGACATGATAGCAAATTATTTCAGTTGGCTTGGTCTTTAAGTTACAGGTAACAAATATCAAGAATTTGGATAATGAGGGGGTGAAAAAAATTGGATAATGAGGAATTTGACCAGAAATACATTGGAATAGTCATAGTTCCTGTCCTGGATGCAGGAAGTGGGGGTTCTAATGGCAGAGAGGGGAGTCCTAGAGTAAGTAATAATATGACTGCTTACTAAACCAATGCCAGGAGCAGAGTCATCTGTTTCTAGTCTTTGCCAGAACAATGGAGTGGAAGAATGTGTTGTTTCAAGTAGAGATGAAGAACTCAAGGCCAATAGCAAGTTTACTATAGACCACTTGATTGGTAGATGAAAGTACAAGGATTTAGCTCCAGGTATTGGGACTCCAAAGGCTTATAATCGCCTACACTGCCCCGCTTTGTACGACATTCTTGGAAAAATTGTCCTTGAATTCAGAAGACTGGCCCTTCTAGATTCTTTGGAGAGAGGTCGGTGCCAGATACAACTGTTAGCCTAGCAAATGCCTGATCTGGTCCTATAATAGCTTCATGTTCTCCAAACCAAAAAAACTCCACTCATGTAGATTCCAACCCAGAGCAACCTGCCATTGAGTTTCCAAAACTAAATCTTTACAGGAACAGACTTCCCATCTTTCTCCTAGGGAACAGATGGAGGATTCAAACTGCCAACCTTCTGGATAACATTCCAGTTGTGTTCCTAGTATGCGACCAGAGCATCTCATATTTTCCAGGAGTACTTGGTCTTACTAGCTTGAAAAAAGCCTATCATACTGATATTTATGAAAACTTTTTCTCCCTATTTATAATATAAATATAACTTGTAGGATTTTCTTTTTCCTAGTGCATCCTAGTTTTAGTTGGGACTCAGTACCAGCATCCTGAGACTAGGAAATAGCCTGAAAAAGATCTCTTGTATTTTTGCTCAGATTCTATTTCCCCTGCCCTTTGTCTCTTTCTCCTATAGGATTTAATGACTAAGTGACTAGAAGGAGGAGTTGAACTTGGGGGTGTAGAACTAAGCAGAGCAGTTTCCCAAGCACTTGGCATTTTTGATAAGTGGCTGTGTGACAAAGTGGATACTCTTCCAGCAGCTGTTATATTAAACATGCACATCTTCCCTACAGTGAGCTCAAGAGGCGCCTGAAAGCTGAGAAGAAAATAGCAGAGAAGGAAGCAAAGCAGAAAGAACTTAGTGAGAAACAGCTAAGCCAGGCTGCTGCAACCACCAACCATGACAATGACAATGGTGTGAGCACCGAGGAGGAGAGCCTGGACCCCAATGTGAGTAAACTCGCTCCTGACCTGTCCAGCCCCAAGGGAGCTTCTAGAAGGGCTTAGGGAGCAGTCCTTGGGGCTGGTAGGAAAGACCAGTGACTAATTAGGTAAATAGGGATTGGAAAAGACACTTCCAGGCCCTGGGTCTCTGTCTTGACTCTTAACAGGCATTGGGGAGAATATAGTACTCTTCCAGGTGACTCATGAATCTTCCTTGGAACCAGCTGGGCCTTATAGCACTCCCAAAGAAACTCTATCTAAAAATGGACCAGGATTGACTGGATCAGGGGTTAGCCGACTTTATTCCCTAGGGCTGGTCTATACCCCTGACCTACATTTTTCTTTGTAAATAGAATTGTATTGGTACAGAGCCAGGTTCTTTTGTTTACATTGTCTGATACTGTGTACACACTACAACAGCAGACTTGAGTAGTTGCATCAGAAAGGTTGGCTGACTCCTGCTGTAGAGTATTTCCTTTTACATCTTCCAGGCCCTGTGACGTGCTTTGGGCAAGAGTCTTCAGTTTATCCAGGGGTGGGAGGGCAGGAAATAAGTAGCTCACCAAGTAGACACGGTTCACAAAAGCAGTAGCCTAGACCACTTGTGCCAGATAAGTTTTTACTATTTCAGGTAGAACTCCATTTCTTTCCTTTCTTAAATTTTTGCAGTCTAGGCTCTGATGGCCTAGTGGCGGGAAGCTGCACTGCAATCCCAGAGGTATGAGGTTTGAATCCACCAGATGCTCTGCCGGAGAAGGAGGGGCAATCTCTTCCTGTACCAATCACATCTGATTTGATGGTACACACAAAAAATAATAAAAGAAAATTGAAAATAAACCAACAACGACAACAAACTTTTGGAATCTTATTTTGAAAAGCAGAGACAGAGCTCAGTTTAAGAAACCTCAGTATGGGGAATATACCCTGAAGAGACCATAGCTGACATCCAAGCAGATATATGCACACCCATGTTCATTGCAGCTTTGTTCACAATAGCAAGGAGT